CCTCCTGTCATTGGCTCCCACTGCCTGCACAGTAGTTTCCAGATTCTGACTCAAGGTCCAGTTCTCAGTCTTCTCACTTTCTGCCCTTATCTCCACACACCCCTGCGCACACAGAATTACAATTACACTGCAGTCTGTCTGGTGACTCATCCCTCAGGCACACCTCAGCTTTCTGCCTTGCTCCTTTCTCAGGTCAAGACCTCTTTGGAATGTCCTCCCCAGTCTACCTCAGCAAGTTCGTCCTTTCCAGTGGCTGTTCGCCGTGCTTTCTGTTCACAAAGCCTTTTCACATCCATCCCAAGGCAGAGGTGGACCTGGCTTCTTACGTTCCCAGTGTGCTGGACATGGTTCCTTCCAGTGCATGGAATCAAGGTTCCCTATAGGAATCCAGATTCTGTGGCCTGTGTGGGTCTTCTTCCTTGATTGCCTGCATCACATGTTCCATGAAGTATGAAAATGTTTGTTTTGGAAAGGACTTTCATAAACTATTTTCTTTCTGCTGTTCCCAGGGAAAAGATTTTCAGAAGAGCAGTGAGGCATTCTGTATGTTTCAGGACATTTAACTCTTAATTGGGGCCATAGAAGTGAGCTTTGCATACAGAATACCAATTAATAACTAAGAAAACAGTATTCAGCTCTATTTATGAACTTGGTGCTTTGTGTCCGTGCATGCCCACAGTGAGTACATGGACCGGTATGGGTGTGGGTTAATTTTTCTCCTCGATTTGCAGAGGGACTTTTTGGAATTAGAACAAGTAAAACTAAGGATTTTTCTTAGCGACTCAAGAAGGGGAGTGCTCCATGATTGACTCTTAACATTCTACAGACATTAGACAGACACAGCCTAGAATAAAATAAGCATCATTTTGTAATTCTGTAATGCATGTTGTATTTACCATGGGAAAGCTGACAGTTATAGTATTCTCCTATGAAAAACAGTACCAACTTAGGTTTGTTCTTCATCAAGTTCAAGCCTAATTAACTCAACAGAACTTTAGAGTTAGATGTGTCTAGAGCATAAAGTTTTGCAAACTTTTTCATTTCTGAGTACTTTCTCCATGAGTACAATAAATATCCTAGAGATACTTGGCAAGGAAGCCATTGATGGTGATGGGTGTTGGGATACTACTCCCAAATCCAAACACTTTTGTTGGGAAATGTAGGTGGAGTGTGGTTTGAAAAGGCAGGTGGCTATTTTGGAAAGTGATCTTCATTACTAGTGGAGGAACTATAGGGAGCTTTGCAGATGAGAAATAACAAGATATTATCCTCTCTAGTGTAGGTGAACAGAGTCCTTAGTTGGCAGTACTCTGCAACCATCTCGCAGGACTTGTTATAACAAGTGTTTGTGAGAATGAGACTGAGAACCCCAGCTGTAAAGGTTGAGTCAGACACAGGTAATGTGCCTGCTTCAAAACAATCCCAAGACCCTGAAAGTCTCTAGCCATCATGGTTTTGCCTAAAGATTTTCTTGTAGTACCCAGATTCATATCAGGGAGAAGAACCCACTTGTTTGGCACATATTATTCTTACACTGGGAAATAGTTTTCTTGTTTTTAAATATTGAGGAATGCATTTTTTTTCGTGGTAAAAGACACATCAAATCCTAGCCCCCCCTGCCATTTTTTGGTAGCAGGGTTTGAACTCAGGGGCACTCAGCCATTGACCACATCTCCAGCCCTATTTTGTATTTTATTTAGAGACAGGATCTCACTGAGTTGCTTAGTGCCTTACTGTTGCTGAGGCTAGCTTTGAACATGATCCTCCTGCCTCAGCCTCCTGAGCTGCTGGGATTACAGGCATGCACCACCATGCCTGTTGCTGTTTTTAAGTATATAATTCAGTGGCATTAATTGCAGCTGTATACCCATCACCAGTGTCTGTTTTGAGAACTTTCCATCCTCCTAAACTGAAACTTGTTGTCCATTAAACACAGACTCCCCATTCCCTCCTCTTCCCTGTCCTTGGCAACCATCCTTCTACTTTCTGTCTGTGTTTGACTCCTAGGTACCTCATGTAGTGGGATATACAGTATTTGTCTTTTTGTGATTGGCTTATTTCATTTAGAATAATGCCCTTAAGGTTCATCCATGTTATACCATGTAACAAATTGTCCTTTTTTAAAAAAGCTGGATAATACTCCATTGTGTACACATACCAGATTTTACTTATCCATTCATTTGTTGATTGACATTCGGGTTGTTTCCATCTGGAATGTGTAATTGCTTAAAGGCAAAATCAACATGAGGTTGTTTCTCAGCCCACCCATCATGGTCTTGGACGTCTACTGGATACATGGGCTCTTTATCAGGATTCTGCAGGCTGACTTTAGTCAGTGACCCTGAGTGACCCAGCTTGAGTGTTGGGGGTCCTCCCTGGAACCAGCCTCACTCTCCCTTCATCTGCTTCATGTACTTTGGGTTAGGGTGAGTTTCCATGACTCATTTATTCACATTTATCTTCTGGGATTTGGGGTACTCTGTCTTCCACTAATGTTGGGGGCCCAGGATTGTTTCTGGGTATTCAACCATCCTCCATGGTCTGTTTTCTGACTGGACATTTTCTCTTAATACCCCTCAACCCCAACCCCAGGCTTTAAGTGCTTTTTATCATTGGTCACCCAAGTGTAGGCCATCTTTCCCTGGCCCCATCCCCAGCCAGCCAGCTGCCCACTAGCCCTTCTACCTGGATGGCCATTGTATCTCTTGCATGGGACCTGTCAAAACCAGGTGCCCAGTGCATCTTGACTGAGATGGCTGAGAGTGCACTTTTGGGCAGGTGGATATACTTACAATCTACCTGCTATGACACTGGGATAGAATTATCTTGATTTTTGAAGCCAGTTGTGAGTGGAACTAATTGCTTCATATTTTTGTTAGTTCTTTCAATTTTGTATATGTATGGCACTGCAGCAAATAATTGCCTTTTTGGGAGTGGGGATGGGTACCTGGGATTGAACTCAGGGCACTCAGCCACTGAGCCCCATCCCCAGCCCTATTCTGTATTTTATTTAGTGACAATGTCTCACTGCGTTGCTTGCGCCTCGCTTTTGTCGAGGCTGGCTTTGAACTCATGATCCTCCTGCCTCTGCTTCCTGAGCCACTGGGATTACAGGCATGTGCCAATGTGCCCGGCAAATAATTGCTTTTTAGCCTCAGAATTTAGTTGTCCTGGGATGTAGAATTTCAGGAAAATGTGTAGAGTCATGGCCCAGGCATCCATTGTAGGCTGTTTCATGAGCACTTTGGGCTGAGTTTTGGAGAGGTTATCCTCAGGTTAACTGAGGCCTCCAATCATGGAGCCCTGAACTTTCAAACTACACCAATGATCTGGAAGCGTCTCCCGCACCTCTACTGGGTTTCTTCACAGTTTGTAAAGCTTTGAGAGATAAAACAGGAGTTGTCAGACCTTGTTAGAAGTATTCAACTAGTAAGTATTTTTGCATTTTTGGTTCATAGGACTCAGTGCTGCCCAGTAGCAGTGTGTCAATAAATAGGTGTGGCTCTGTTCAGATAAAACTTTAATTGTGAACAACAGGAGCAGCAGCAGGAAGGCAGCTGGTTGGATTGGGCTCACTAGCCACAGTTTGCCAATCACTTGTACAGAAAATAGGCTTATCAACTGAGGTGAATTGCTCAGGTAGACTGGGGAGAATTGCTACCGAGTTGTATTATTATAGTGTAAGAAAAACTGGTTAAGATCAGTCTTTCTCAGGATGAAAATGATCATCAAATGGATAACATTCAAGCCTGTTTCTTTTTTTGTGTGCTTATGTGTGTTTGTGTGCACAGTGCTGGGGATCAAACCCAGCGTATGTGCACATGGTGCAAGTGCTCTACCATTGACCCATACCCCCAAATCCACATTTCAAGCTTTTGCAGAGCCGTTGAAGACATATTCAGAGCACTCTGTTTAGTGCAGAGTAGTAAATATCTTAGTATAAACAGCTTAGTATAATAATCTGACTAAGACCTTTATAAAAAACAGATGGTCATTGCTAGCAAACGTGGACAACTTGGAACCTTCATGCACTGCCAGTGGGAGGTGTTGCAGTTGCTTTAGAAACTAGTCTGGTAGTTCCTCAAAATGTCAGACATAGTTACTGTAGGACTCAGCGTTTCTACTGCAGGGTCCATACATGATAGAAATGAAAAAGTGTCCACACAAAAATGTGTACACCAGTGTTCATGGCAGCATTGTTCCTAGTAGCCCAAAGTAGAAACAACTTGTTTATTACCTGATGAATGGATAAACAAAATGTAGCTTATTCATACCATGGAATTTAATTCAGCCATAAACAGAAATGAAGTATTAATGCATGCAATAATATGGATCAACCTTGAAGGCATTATGCTAAGTGAAAGAAGCCAAACAGTAAAGGCCACATACTTCACGATTCCATTTATGTCTATTTTCCAACTTGGACACATCTGTAGTAGACACAGAAAGTCCCTTTATAGTGATTGCCAGGGCCTGGGAGGGTTGGAAAGTGGTTGCTAATGAGCTTGAGCTTTCTTATGGGCTTCGGGAAATGTTCAGAAATTGGTAGTGGTGATGGTTGTACAGTTCTGTGAATAATAGAAATGGTCCAAAATTTTTGTTTGGGTAAAGGAAATCTAGAAAATTAATCCATAATTTTGGAGTCCGTATTTTCATTATGGTTGTTTCTGAACTTTTCCATTTCCTTCATTGATCAGCCTTCCACTTCTGTGGGGAGGCAGACCAGGTAATGGTTGGGTGAAAGAAACAGTGTGTTCATGCATCACTGGTCTGCTCGGTGGGGACTTGGTCAGCCTCAGGGGTCCTGGTCACTCCAGACTTCCTGGCCCCAAATGGGTCCTTCTCTTGTGGTAATCCTGAAGCCAGTCTGGAGGACCCATGAGCTGCATGTACCCCAGGGCATGTAGTATTTCTAGCTGCATTCCACGTTCTTCGCTTTTTCTCAGGAATCACTTGCTCCTTCGTGAGGCTTATGGGATATGTTTCTTTCTCTGTTACAGATTGAAGAAGGAAGTAAAGCAGCAGCTGTGGACAAGTTGCTGGCTGGAGACGAGATTGTGGGCATCAATGACATTGGTCTCTCAGGGTTTAGACAGGAAGCTATTTGTCTGGTGAAAGGATCCCATAAGACCCTTAAGTTGGTGGTCAAAAGGTAAGATCCGTGCCTCCTTGTGTTTACCAAGATAAGCAGAAGTGTCTGTCCCTTCTATCCCTTCTACATGGTGTAATATTTGCATATAGGTTTCCCATGTCCTCCTTCCTGTATGCTTTAAGTCGTGTCTAGATGATTTATAATACCTAACATAATGTAAATGTTCTGTCAGTAGTTATTATATTATATTGATTTAGGGAATGATGGGGGAAAGTCTATAGATCTTTAGTACAGATGCAATTTTTTGTGTATGCAAACACTTTCTTTTTTTAAAAAAAATCCATTAGAAGTTAGGGATGCAGAAACTTGGAGGTGAAGGGCTGTGACTGTATTCCTTGGCAAAGGATGAACCCAACACCATTTTTTTTTTAAAAATTAAGTCTATTGAGTTCTTGTATCTTTTCTTGGATAATGTGTAGATTATTTTCTTTGCAGATAGAAAGCTATGCTTGTGCTCCCAGTGAGACGATATGTTGTTGCCTGCTGTTTACACAAGGTGGCAGGCTGCTGATTTTAGTTTTTATGTTGGGAAGAGAGGGTGCTGCCCAGCAGCCAGAGGCCTAGTACTGTTCTGAGGTCTGGGGGAGCAAGATGCTTATTCTTACCAACTAAATTGTTGGTAGGAGCGTGGATGATTCTCAGCACTCAGGGATATGATGCTTTTATACACAAGGACGAACATGATACTCCTGGGCACCACCCAAGAGCTTCTTAGAAATCGTTCTCTACATTTTGTATTTGGCTGATTCAAAGCAAGTGTCTGCATGTCCTTTTTGACCGAATTAATACATTCTTCCAAAGCTGGCAGTAAAATTTTTTTTAATATTTAATTTTTAGTTTTAGGTGGACATAATATCTTTATTTTACTTTTATATGGTGCTGAGAATTGAACCCAGTGCCTCACACATGCTAGGCAACCACTTGAGCCACATCCCCAATCCCTGAAAGTAAATTTTAATGAGTAAATTGAGTCAAGCATTTATTTCAACATTTTAGCACAGACTTGAAAACATACTCTGAAGAGTGTGTCTGTGTGTGTGTGTGTGTGCTTTGTTTGCCTCAAACAGCATCTAAGGTGGAGGTTCAGAAATGAGGAAGGGAATATGTTCCTTCATTTATCCTCCTCCTCTTTAAGAGGTGCGTGCTCTTCCTGAAGACCTTTTCAACAAATCCTTGTAACTCATCATGGCAGTTTCTGAGCCTCTGGGCGGGGAGAGTGGGCTATGAGAGGCTCTGTCGTTCCTTGGGGGCCACCTCATTAATGCTTGGAAGGCAATCTGTTGATTCACTTAGACTCACAAGGGATGATGATGGGAAGAGAAGCTTATTTTTGCAGAGGTCAGATGTATTTAGAACCATCTCTGTGGATCATCCCCCATCCCCCAGACAGATGGCAGTTTTCTCTTCTTCTGCCAGAGCCTTTAAAACATAGAAACTCATTCTTTGTTTTCCTCTGACTCTCTTTGGTGGGGAAGACATCAGCTTAGTCAACACAGTGGCCAAGTTTTGTGTCACCAGGGTCTCTCTGCATCTGAATTCCTAGCTGGGGAATTTTGGAGTCAGAAGATAAATACATTGTGAACTTTGATAGACATTCTAGAGACCTCAGATCACTTGTTTTTCTGCATCATATCTTGTACAGAGTCTTCTGTTTGTTTTTTTTCTCTATGAATGTGATAGGTGAAAAATTGTTTTTATCACGTATGTTTGAATTTCTGTCACTATGAGTGAAACTGGGCATCGTTTCATGTGTTTAGAAGTACAATATGTATAATTCTTTTTTCAACTAGAGGTACTATAATGTGAAACCTTTTCAAAGGAAAGCATCAGTGCCACCTGAGAGGGAAAGAGGAGGCCACAGGGCACCTGCTGGCTGATTTAGCTGGGTAGGTATTTAAAAGACTCTCAGGAAAGGGACCTAAACTTTTGCCCTGAAGGACTGATGGGAGTCACTATGTAAAACCCCCACTTTGCATTTCACAACTCAGTTTCCTTTAAACAAGGGGAGTACAGATTGTGAAGTTTACATAGGATTTAATACTTTAACATGTAGAACAATATGTAAAAACAAAAGTTTATTCAAACAAATTTATTTTCAAACACACTTTAAATAACGTACTCAGATGTTTTAAAATTTATCAAAATAATTTGTATAGGGGCTGGGATTGTGGTTCAGCGGTAGAGCGCTCGCCTAGCATGTGCGAGGCCCTGGGTTTGATCCTCAGCATGACATAAAATAAAGATATTATGTCCAGCTACAACTAAAAAATAAATATTAAAAAAATAATAATTTGTGTTACCTTTTAATATAGATGTAGGGTTTTTTTTTTTTGGGGGGGGGGGTTGTTTTTGGTACCAAGGATTGAACTCAGGGGCACTCAACCCACTGAGCCACAACCCCATCTCTATTTTGTATTTTATTTCAAGACAGGGTCTTACTAAGTTGCTTTGCGCCTTGCTGTTGCTGAGGCTGGCTTTGAACTTGGGATCTTCCTGAGTTGCTGGGATTATAGATGTTCACCGCCACACCCAGCTGATGTAGGGTTTTTTTCGTTTATTTGTTTGTTTTCCCCCAGTTGGGCAGAAAACAAGTTTGACATGGTGTTTTGTTCAGAGATGTGAAGGAAGGACTGGGGATGTGGCTTTCTGGTAGAGTACTTGCCTAGCCTGTGCAAGACACTGGGTTCCATCCCCAGCACCACACAAGTAATATTTGGTGTTAGGGATTCAGCTCAGTGGCAGAGTACTTGCCTAGCACATCCAAGGCCCTGGGTTTGGTCCTCAGCCCTGAGGGAGGAAAAGTAGGGAGATGTGAAGGAAAATTTTCTAAGCCATTAAATTAGTTAGTATTAGGATTTGTTGCTGTCACCTTTGCACATGGCGAATGACTACTCTTAAAGATGTACATAATGAGGACTTGTAAAACTTTTATTGCAAAAGCACCAGTAAGTACTTTTAATTTTGGGGGGTGGAGGGATAACTGGAGATTGAAACCAGAAGCACTTGACCACTGAGCTACATTCCCAGCCCTTTTTATTTTTTATTTGAGACTGGGGCTCACTAAGTCACTGAGGCTGGCTTTGAATTGGGGATACTCCTGCCTTAGCCTCCTAAACTGCTGGGATTACATGCATGTGCCACTGCACCTGGCATAAAATTGTTCTTAAAGCTGGGGACATATTTTCTTTATCTGAGTTTTAATCTCCCTACCGTCTTCTTTCTTCATCCCCAAATAACCACTAATCGATCTTCTATCTCTATGGATCAGTTAGCATTGATTAGCGTTTTATGTAGAGCTCCAAGACTGACTGTGCTAAGGCGGGGTGTAGCTCAGTGGTAGGCTATGTTCAGAGGCCCTGCATTCGATCCCCAGTACTAAGGGTGGGGGTGAGTATCTAGTTAACACATAACTATTGTATATTGCCCTACTTGAAAGCATGACCAAGTGGTAGATTAGGTGGCCCAGTCCTTATGTCAATGTACCTGCCCAACTGAGGTGCCTAAGAACTGATACCTCTGTTTAAAGCACATGTGGCCATGGTTTTTGTTTGTTTTCGGTGGCACTGGAGATTGAACCCAGAGGCCCTCTACCACTGAGCTACCTACCGCCCCAGTCATTTTTGCTGGGTTAGGGGGAGACAGAGTCTTACTAAATTGCTGAGGCTGGCTTTGAATTTTCTCCTGCCACAGCCGCCCAAATTGCTGGAATTACAGGTGTGTGCTACCACACCTGGCTAACCGGCTGTCATAAACATTTGAATAGTAGTTTAGCCACAAACTCCCTTCCCCTTAGCGACAGCTGCTGGTTGTCTTGTTTTGTATGCTTATTTCATTTTTGGAGACCAAGCTGCTGGGAAAAGATGAGGTGGACCATTTTTACCGGAGTGGTGGGATCTTGTTTCATGCAGCATAGGGAAGATCAGCATCAAGAAGCCATGCTTGAGGCGTGGGTTGTGGCTTGGTGGTAAAGAGCTTGCCTAGTATGTGTGAGGCACTGGATTTGATCCTCAGCACAGCATAAAAATAAATAAAATGAAGGTTTTTTTGTGTCCATTTACAACTAAAAATTTTTTGAATAGTTTAAAAAATAAAAAAAGTTATGCCTGAGAAGACATAGAGATATCCCCCCACCCCCCAATAAAGATTTGTTCCTTTACAAACAACAAAAGTGGTTTGTTCCTTTGTCTTTGCCTTTTTTTTTTTTTTTTTTTTTTTTGGTACCAGGGATTGAACCCATGGGTGCATAACCACTGATACACATCCCCAGCCCTATTTTGCATTCTATTTAGAGACAAGGTCTCGCTGAGTTGCTTAGGGCCTCACTAAGTTGCTAAGACTGGCTTTGAACTCGAGATCCTCCTCCTCAGCCTCCTGAGCCACTAGTATTACAGGAGTGTGCCACTGCCCCCTGCCCTGTCCTAGATAGTTGAAGGGGAGTGCTTTCTCTCTCCCAGGCAGGGTTAGCAGGAAGCAAAGTGCTTACATCAGTCATTCCCTCTAAGATCTTGCACCTGTGTTCTTCACCATGTCCAGGTGTGTCCACGGCCCATGAAATGGGGGTGGGTAGATGGGTGACTGTCTTGGAAGTGATCAGTTGTGGGGTTTGGAGGAGAGCTGAGAGTCAAGCATCTCTGCCTTTCTCTTCTCCCTCCTGGGTGGTTTGTTCCTTTGTCTTTGCCTTGGTCAAGGAAATGTACCTTTTGAGGAAAGTTCAGGAATGTTGTGTGTTTGTGCAGTTGTCATCTGCACTGTTTCTGTAGGTGCCTAGGCCCATCCCTGGAGATCCTGATGGTTAGGTGTGGAATGGACCTAAGCTCTGGGATCTTGGAAGGCCACAGGTTGTTTGGCTGGGTGCCTCTGGTGGTTGTGTTGCTCACTGGCTTAAGTAAATGTGCTTGGAGAGAAGGCCAAGGACAGAAACTGGGAGGCACTTTGGCATTTTCCTGATTGTCTTCACCCAATAGATAAACCCATTGCTGTGGGAAGGATGTCACCTGGCT